TCGTGATGGGACTGTTCCGGAACTCCAAATAGAATTATGTTGTTTCCCTCTCTGCTCTCTCTTTAATTTCAGCAACTATTTCGTCTTTGCTTGGAGCAGATTTCTCAGATTTCAAGTTTATTTCCAGTTTAACGATTAACCCTTTTACCTCTCTTTCAAGTTCCGCAATTCTATCTTCAAATTCTTGCGTGATTTGCCTACACCTCTCTTCTATTTTTCTGTCCGTGAGAATATTCTTTTCGACTGTCATTCTGCATGGTGGACAAAACCACATTGTATCTGATTTTGATAGGATGTCATATTTCTTTGAATCAAAATCCAAACATCTGATGCAGAAAATGGTCCTGGCATCGATCACACTTCATGTACTTCTTTGCTTCCTTCGAGCATATCTTTCAGTTATACTGTTCCTCCATCAACGCGTCGTTGAAGGACTCTTCCGAGTTGGATCCCAGTTGAGAAGCCGATTTCTTGCTACTTCCTGCACTTCCGGTTTTGCCTTTAGTAATTTTATCTGTAATTTCGCGAATATTTTCGTATCCAAGAATTCAAGGATGGTCTCCGGATCACTTCCATAATATATGTATCGATAATTACCTCCTTATCGGCAAATTATCGACGAAAATTACCCCGTTGGCTACGGAGCATCCTCAAGTACAACTGTATCCATGGCATGACGTCACTACCAATTGTGTATGATTTAAACATATATTATTACATATAAGTAGCAATAGGATTAGGCACAAGTTTTACAACTTATAGAAAGCCATTTCCAAACATATTAATACACACACATGTTTACAAGGTGGAATTATGATATAATAGGAAACACTTAAAAATAAGTTTAGAGAGAGGGGGGAGAGGGAGAAAGAGGGGGAGAGAGAGAGGGGAGGTAGAGAGAGAGGAGAAGAGAGAAAAGGGGAGAAGAGAGAGAGGGTGGAGGGAGAGAGAGAGAGAGAGAGAGAGAGAGAGAGAGAGAGAGAGAGAGAGAGAGAGAGGGAGAGAGAGAGAGGGGGGGGGGGGTGAGAGAGAGAGAGAGAGAGAGAGAGAGAGAGAGAGAGAGAGAGAGAGAGAGAGGTGTATAACACGAACTTTGTATGTCTAGAATACTTTGTATATATGTAGATCATGCATCTGCTCCTTCTCCATGTAAGCGAAACAGGTGACAACATAAGTGTTGTTTGACATGACAAACAACGATTATTTTTTTATCTATGCGACAAAATGATTGCCCAACACAGAGGACTAATGTGGTGAATTTCAAACATTGTTTAATTCTTAATTTTTTTTTCTTATCAAAACACATCGATTACGACTCCGGGATGTTTGGGGAACATGTGTATCGGTCTCCATAACAGTTAGTACTTATTACTTATATGATTGGCTATTTGGTTAAAAATAGTACAAATATTGCTGTTTTTGCCAGATTGACCTTACACGTATTTATACAATTAAAGCGCGCCATATTATGCCGATATACGATTAACAAATACAAAAAATCGATTTAACAAAAGCAGTATAGAAATATCTACCAACAATCTTAAAAACCGATTATTGACCGATGTAAATATTTATCTTATTAAGCGAAATCTAAAAAAAAATAAAATAAAAGCAAAGACCTATTCTGTCACTCTAAAAGGTCCACAGTGACCACTACAACAAACTTCATTTTAGGTGTAAAAGATAATTTCAAATTACCTTCGACTGGAATAATAAATAATTTATTTATAATCAAAGGCTATATATTTTTATATATATCAGTATCCAGGATTGTCCAGGCTGCATCCGACAGCAACACTATCATAAATAGAAACACACCGAAAGGAACACCACACATAAACTGATGCCGTCAATCTAATCAACACATTCCTATTCCATCATTCGACTATTCTCCACATCCTTTTTAAAAAACCGAATCTGAAACATAAACAACATCTTTTAAAACATTACTTTCCCTGTTGTTTATCAGCTTACTTTAAACGGTCTGTCGACAACTGTTTAAGTCATTTTTTTCAATTTTAGTTAATATGAAAACCTGCGAAACATCTTATTTACTCATCAAACTCAAGTAAAACAAACTCTGACAGAAATGTAATACTTCATAAACATAAGGAGAATAATTACCCTTTGATAAATATCTACTAACTGTTAGAGGTATCAGAAAAACTACTGAAGCAATACAGCACATACCTAACGAGGAACTGGGTACCAGTAGTTGATCTGGCGCTGAATACAAAGTGGAAACAGCACCATGTGCTTCTCTTCAAACTGATGACAGAATTTCCTCTGCCAGTAGAGGTCATCCCGGGGAAGTTCCTTTGTAACCACCACGGATAACTCGAGTCCATAGTTGAACAGTTCCATTGCTTTTGCCCGCTGGGCGAAGTTGGCTTTGTCCATCTTCCGAGATCCTGATGGCTTCCACAAGGATCTTCTTTTGACTTGACATGGAACCGTTCCGCAGTGAGGACAGCGTGAAGGACCTGTTCAAGTACATGTACGAGTATGTTACGATATCGGAGTTGAACACTGTCAGTAGATACTGTGTACTTTGATATTAAAGTTTACGATGAAACAAACAGAGTGACGTAACTCATCAGACAGTAATACTTACGAGTCCTCCATTCATGGATCATCGACATCATGGTTGAGCATCCCTTTCTGGTAAACCTCCCAATGGCTGGAATGTTCCTTAATAGTAGGCTTACAAGGGTACAGAAGAGAGTACACAAGATCTCGTTTCCTATTTGCTGAAATGTAAGAAAATGCATTGCATTTTAACAGAGAAAACAGCTTCAAATGAAGAAAACAACTGACGTAAGAAAATTTGATATGATTAAGCTGACTGAATACTTCAAAAATAAAGAATATTACCAGTGCGATATCGGCAGATGTTGAACAAATTTTCTCGAATTCCGATGCGACGAAATAGTGGTAAAATCTTTGGACATATCCTGGCGCGGGCTCAACACTGTAGAAGGAAAGTGAAATTAAGGGATGAAATGTGTCTTTAAATAAACGTAACAATATTTTTGCAAGCTGTCAATAGTGTAAGCTTTTACTTAACATATAAAATCCTTCAAAACAGCCATGGTAGACTTCACCAAGAAAACTTACCATACAAGGCCCCGGTATACAGCGGGACCCTGTTGTATTGCGCTCAGCATTACCACAAATAGCAGGAATGACCTGATATTCATTGTGGTCAGCCAAGATCTTACAATATAAAGTAAAATTCAGGGGAGAGACTCATCATTTCCGCCTTCGCCGATTGCTAAGCAGCTTAGCAACTAGAATGTGACGTCACAATTACCACATTATTTCCCATCATGACGTCATGCAATTGTCTATTGAACAAATGTAGACGAAACGAATTAAACTTCCCCCGATCGCACTACGAATTTTACACATCACCGTTGAACCTTTAAGTATAATTTTATTTAACAATATATGTGGTTCCTGTTGGTATTGACGTAATACTTTTACTTTTATCGAAGACTGAATGCAACAATTAGACACAATCTTTGGCCCAACGCCACTTTCCGATTTCTGGTTTGAGCGCATGTTAATCACGCCTTTTTTCACAATCAGTCTCAACGGTTTATACTAGCTGTCAGTATAACGTGATTCACAATCAGTCTCAACGGTTTATACTACCTGTCGGTATAACGTGATTCACAATCAGTCTCAACGTTTATACTACCTGTCGGTGTAACGTGATTCACAATCAGTCTCAACGGTTTATACTACCTGTCGTTATAACGTGATTCACAATCAGTCTCAACGGTTTATACTACCTGTCGGTATAACGTGATTCACAATCAGTCTCAACGTTTATACTACCTGTCGTTATAACGTGATTCACAATCATTCTCAATGGTTTATACTAGCTGTCGTTATAACGTGATTCAAAATCAGTCTCAATGGTTTATACTACCTGTCGTTATAACGTGATTCACAATCAGTCTCAACCTTTTTACTACCTGTCGGTATAACGTGATTCATAATCAATCTAAACGGTTTTACCACCTGTCGTTACAACGTGATTCACAATCAGTCTCAGCGTTTATACTACCTGTCGTTATAACGTGATTCGAAATCAGTCTCAGCGTTTATACTACCTGTCGTTATAACGTGATTCACAATCAGTCTCAACGGTTTATACTACCTGTCGTTATAACGTGATTCACAATCAGTCTCAATGGTTTTACTACCTGTCGGTATAACGTGATTCACAATCAGTCTCAACGTTTATACTACCTGTCGTTATAACGTGAATCACAATCAGTCTCAACGGTTTATACTACCTGTCGTTATAACGTGATTCACAATCAGTCTCAACGGTTTATACTACCTGTCGTTATAACGTGATTCACAATCAGTCTCAATGGTTTTACTACCTTTCGGTATAACGTGATTCACAATCAGTCTCAACGTTTATACTACCTGTCGGTATAACGTGATTCACAATCAGTCTCAACGTTTATACTACCTGTCGGTATAACGTGAATCACAATCAGTCTCAGCGTTTATACTACCTGTCGGTATAACGTGAATCACAATCAGTCTCAGCCTGTGTTATATACGTCTCTGCTGAAGGTAATCAATTAAGAAATAATCAACCAATTGTATAATATAATGTGCATCTCATTATCTATATGTTTTGTATACGCCGTTCTGTAATTTCTGATCTCACCATAATACCCTACCTGATCTCCTCATACAACGATCACTGATAATTAATTGATCAGTTAGCAGACGACCGCGCGACTCCGGTTGATTCCTCAGTCGTACTGAACTTTATATTTATTATTTGACCTTTTCTTCAAATCTACACTGATTGGTATTCATATCTGAACTTCTTCTATACGAAAAAATAGATAACAAAGCATCCCTATCTATTTATAAGTCATTTGATATAACACGAGAAATAGGATAAAGTAGTCGATAAATATGGGATTGAGTGGGTAACATTCCGCTCCATTAGACGTATGAGATGTTCGGTCATCGCTGCCTGCAGTGGGAGTACAATTATCTCCACGAAATCCGTTAACAAGTGGGATTCGTTTTTGACAATGGAAGTTGGACACACGTAAATGGTGCTTTGAGAGAAATCTAGTCATCTTCATTAATGGTTTAATAGTAACATTGCATTGCTATTTCCGTTAAATACGTCATTCTACTCGAGCAAAAATGCATAGGAATTAGTGGTCGTTGTTTACATTCCGGATATAGGTTCTTGTGGTGCATCGAACAGTCAAAAGTATTGTACTGACTGTTTGTATGTCTAGTGGGGCAAGAAGGTGCTGATTTGAAACCCGTGTACAGTATTCAGCCGACACCCTCCAGTCCATTCTGTGAAATAATTAAACAGAATTTAATTATTTTAACAGGTATGTATAATGGATGGATTGCGAACCAGGCATACTGTAGGCTCATCTTGTGGACAGTGAAATCATCAAACCCGCTCAATATGTTGCAATTATCTGCCTGTACCCAATTAATATCTCAACTGGGTGAGATAATTTACCTAAAACATCTAGAAGTACTGTAACATGTTGTTAGTGTTGACTTGCAGCTGGCTAGACATTTTGTCCAGTGAGATCAGTTCATTTTCCTAGAAAAAAATTTAATGATTTATCAATGTGTCAAAGGGAAGTGACTCCGCTTTGATTTTGAAACTTTTTTCAACATTTTTCAATATTTTTAAGCTCAAAAATGATATGAAATATATAGGGAAATGTTTCATTTGTTAAAACCAGAAAGTTATGTACTTTTAAGTTAAAAATGCAAAGGTGATTCGCTCAAAGTTATTTGTCAAAGCAATAGAAAGAGATCTAGGCTGTGGCCCATCGCTTCTATTGTATATCCCTGTTTTTGGAATTTATTAAAGGATGAAGACTTAATTAACAATTTTGACAAACCTAAGATTTTTTCATGTATTGCAGATGGTAGACTGTTAGATGGGATCTGATCAGAGTACACAGCCTCCAGCTGGAGCCCCAGGGAGCAATATAAAGTCACAAAGAGATGAAGATATTCCCTACACATCATTTTCCATCAGTAAACCAATAGATGGGGGTATGTGGGATAAAGGGGGGGGGGGGGTTAATTATTGATTCAATACAGTGTAGAATGATGGAGGAAGTAATTCACTGACTGTGTTCACAGATAATCGCAACCTTACGTTAAATGGTGAACCTTGGCTTACTTGAATACCTCATATTGCTTAAACAATTGACATGATCCTGAGGTGTTTGAAATTGCAAGATTTTACTGTATTGCAGTTAGTATTTACCAAGGTTACATACATGTTTAAAAATTATTTCAAACTACCAGGTCTGTTTTTACCAATAATTTGTATAGTTGTGTTGCTATTATTGATAAACAGTTCTGTTTGAATTTGGGTAAAATCAAAATTCAGAGACTGTGTTTTGAAATATTTAAAAAGTTCAAGAAAAAATTAAGAATGAAGTTCCCAAAAATCCAGATTAATCTGCTATATAATAAACTGTGTTTGTAGAACCAATGCGTCACTCTCCCCGGAATGTGGGTGGTCGACCACGTTCATCTACAAAAGATGCTAAAGAGGACACTCCCAAACATAAAATTGTAGTGGTTGCTGACGGTAATGTGTCACCTAAAGACAAAGATCCAGAGTTGACCAAGCTCGATGCCATTCCTGTGTTCTATCCAATTATGAGAGGATCACTCAACATTCCCACTAGTTCACGTGACCCAGACATTCTTGATAAACTTGATCATCAGCAAATCCTACTGCTGTGTATTCGCTACCAAGAACATCTCCGACAGTTATCAGAGGCAGTTTCTTTTGATCAGAATGCTCTGTGTGTCCGCATTAAAGAGGTGAGGGTACTATATACTGTTTAAAGTAATTGTAAGAATACTACCTGATTACACTGTAGTTTAAAATCTATCTTTTGGTATGCGAAGCTGATTCAGTTAGTTAATTTCTTGTCATTAAAAAGAAACTTTAATTAGCATGTTCATGTTCTATAATTGTAAGGTGCAATCCATCCTGTCAGTGCATCTTTCTACGATTGTGTCATATTGTCTAAGGTTTCACTATTTGAACCCAGGATCTAAATACGTATCAAATGACGACTGAGAAAAAGTTTATAGGCATAATAGACCAACACATCACCTCTGAATGTGTGGGTAGGGTTATCTCAGAATAATATAGGGAAGATTCTATCAACCAAGAGCAATTGGCAACTTTCAGCAACATCTTTAGTAAATAAAAAATAATGCTGGCTGTACTGTGTAAAAATATATAGGAAATGAAAAAAGATTGAGGGGTCAGTTTAAGTTTTGAGGGGACTTTGGTACCCACCTCCTACTAGAGTATTCCTGCAATGACTAAACATTACAATTTCATTTGTTGATTTTACTTAATAACAATAGATGGTGGTGGGCTTATTAGTGGACATGGTTAGTAAGTACCTTATATTACATTGTTTGCTGTATAAAAAGTGATTTTGAGATTACCTCTGCGTTACTTTATTGTAGATTGACTGTGCCATAAACATGCTTGTGAAATTGATGTCTGATCGTCAAAAGAAATACCACAAATATGCTGAACAGTTTACAAGAGCCTCAGAGACCCTGACTGTTTTAAATAGGGTCAAGGATTCCATGGACAATATCATTCCTAAAATGGAACGACTGAACCAACTTCTGCCAGAGGGAGATCAGCTAGAACCATTCAGTATATATATAAACACTCCAACATCTTCTAGCAAATAGGTGATTATCTATAGGACAGACCTGTATTTTGGATGTTTTTCACGTTTTTATGCCTTGGTTGAATTGCAATAGCAAAAGATCATTGTGAACAAAATAGATGTTTGTAAAACAGTTTCGATATTGAGGTTTTTCATCAATATTTCTGTATTCATCACTAGCTTCTCAAAGATTTTAGGAAAATTTGGAAAAAATCTCAAAAAAAAGTAAAATGTGATATATCTCTTTTTTTTTTAGTTAAATAAATTGACAGACATTTCTCACTTAGATCATAAATTATAGGTAAGTTGTTGAATATAAGAATTCTATAAAAAGATGTGTACTTTCAATCCTTTTGTAGTGAAAATACTGTTATGTGTAATTCACACATTATTAGGTCTGTTTGGATTCACTGCTGTCATTGCATATTCACTATAAGACACTGACTTTTTCAGTATATTTTGTTTAATGTAAATTTATTGCAAATTTTTTCTGTTTAAAAGAATAAAATTATCATATTTTTGTTTTATTTTAGGGGAGTTTAAATGAATCAAAACATTATATGATATGTATTTTTTAATTCAAGCAACTACAATGCCATCAATACTATACATGTATAAGCTTGACATTTTCTTTGAATTTTCTAGCCTTATTTTGGACCCTTTACATTGACCACCAGGAAGTAAAGTTTGTAGAATATCAGCATAAATTATTCATTTTTTTCCTTTAAAAAGTTGGTATTGTGTATGTTCCTGTTTGTCCACCTGTTTCTGTTGAATTTCTGTTGAAATTAGTCTTTATATGTCACATTTTTATTTATAGTAAAGGCATTTGAATGAAAATCCTTTTAAAGCATATACAATTAGATGACTCAAACATAAAAGGAATATCTGTGTTGTTATTTATCATACCCGGTATATCTTGCATGAAAATTTTAAGGTGAGGTATTTTGAAATGTTCAATCATTTGGCTGTCCTTAGCAAAATGATGACCATTAATGGCATATTAATTTAGTATTATGTTGATAAATGTTTGTTGGCCATATAAAATGTAACTCATATTCATTAAAAAAGAAAGAAAAACCTTTAGGTAAATTGTATCTGTGATTTTAACAACAATTTTATTGCAAGCTTATTGAATTAGAGTAGAATTCAGTTATATAACATCAATATTCATTGAAATATCTGCATCATTTGAGTATTACTTTGCACTAATATAAAATGTATGCAGTATATAACCTGTTATATTCACTACCAATATAGCAGTGGTCAAGTAGTCTTTGGTGGTCAGAAATAGTCATTTACAATTACATCTAATCAGTAGGATTGATGTGGTCAAAAGTTAGTCGGTCAGTTGTGGTCAAGGGATTGTGAGCAGTTGCATGTACATGTATTTTAAGTCAATAATGTACTGAAAGCTGGCCAGAGTGGTTATATACATGTAGGCCTACTCTTACGGTCAACTTGATCGAAAAGGTCAATATTCTGGTGCAAAAATTGAGTATATAATTTTAAAGCAGAAACTAGTGTTGTACTTCCTAGTGATGTTTTTTTTTTTTAAAAAAAAAACGTCAAAATTTGTGTTATAGTTTGAAGGAACTAGAAAATGTTTAAACAAATAGCCTGTTTTCCGTATTTGGTCCACAACCTATACAAATATGCTTCTCCTCTAAGCAATGTCTGGTTCAAAGTAAATGTTGTAACATCCCCGTCATCTCTATAGTGAAAAAGTTCCAACCAATTCAACTCCTGTATCGGCATTTTCTTGGTTAATTTAATCACATTTATTTGCTAAAATCAGTTACAATGTTGACAACGCCCTTTCCGGAACAACGCGGACCTTGACCATTGCCGTTCGGGCAGTTTCCATTTCACATATGCTCATACATTTCCGCGGTCATAAGTTGAAATAACTGGTGCCTAATCCTCTGCCCAATTTTGGGACAATAAATATGTTTAAATCTAAAAAAAATGCATTTCCGCAACAAAAATGAAGATACTAGTTGAGTAACACATCCGGGCTTTGCCATGTTGTCGCACTGTCGCACTGACCATCTTGAATGACCACAAGTTCCTGTTATGTTTCACTGATCCGTAAGCGTTGTTTTTTTTAAGTAAGTAAGTAACCCTTTCAGAGGCGTAGCAATAATGTATGCTTGTATGCTTAAACATACACTCGAATTCCATTGAGATATATTTGCCCTACTTTTTTAACCTTAAACCCCCTTAACCGGGGCTAAAAGCATACACTCTTAAAAATGTTTTGCTACGCCACTGATATATATGTGTGCTGTCCATGTACGCTGACAGTCTCTTAGTGACATTTGAGAGGCAGATATTCCTCTTTTGCAAAGCTAATTGTAACCCTTGTACGCCTTTTAAAGGACAAGGACACGATTTTTAACTTAAGCAAAGCGGGTATTTGTGAGCGCTAAGGTATACCCCATTGCCTATTTCCAACCATTTAAAGTAGCCAGGATGCTGCCGCTCAGTCAAAATTTAAATGGCTGCACGTTCACGTGACACCGTGACGTTAATTGCGACCTGGGCGGGAGGATCCTCCAATTTAAGCACGAGGACATGTGTCTTACTATTACATTTAAACGTATTTTTCAATACGGACACATCGGAAAGTGAAAAATCGCCGACGTGAACTCATATGACCCTGTCCATAGAAGGCGATCAGGGTATGGATCACATGGGAACTATTTGGGCACGGGACTGACATTATAAAATGACATTAGGACTTCAGTTGGTTTCATGGTATTTCTTACAAATTGTAGAAAAAATTGTTTAGCTTTCACCGTTTGTGATAGGGATCAACCAGTTTGAGACGGCGAGGGTCAAAACATACAAACATCGGGGAGGACAACGGACAGATATTTCAGTAGGGAAGGAGATTCAGGAAGACACGACAGACGGTATTGCACCAAACAGTTTTATCAATAGCAACTGTTCTTATTTCAGAACGTGACATCATTTATTCAGATTTTTACATGACAGATGTCGTCGATAAAATAGACGATGCCTTCGTTTCACCGATTCAGAGTTGTGAAATAATATTTGAACAGCTGTCGGTAGTGTTTACTTCCCATGTTGCTTTCTCCACTTCACACCTAAGGAAACGGATAAATCTGACTGACCTACCGAGATTTCTGTAATTATCCCTAACAGTTTCAACACATACGTATTAGATTTACACCAGGAAAACGACACAAACAAGGGAATATTATGATATATTTATTGTGTTGTAAAGCGTCTCTAGGGTCAAGATGACGATCGCAATGGTATATCAAATATGACGTCATCGTCTATGTCGTCATGGTAATGTTCCCATGTCCTGAAAGGAATTTAAACATATAATTAAAGATTAATATTACATATCAAATGCTTCCAAATAAAGCAATATTCTGTTCCTTCCTATGATATTTGGCATTACAAATTGTGTGGTCACGTGACCTTGGTCGAACTTTGACGAATAGGTTAAGATATTTGATTGGGTTATCAACGGGAGCGAGATGAGCAGGACTGCGGTACCTTTTGGAGTTCCTGTCGTGTGTTGACATGATATCATGGATGGTGTCGGGCAGAGAAACGTTCAGGGTTTCTGGTAGAATCAGTGACACCAAGCCAGCCGATAGACCAAGACAGCCGAATATAATGAGGGGCAGCGCCTTCCCAAACATGCTGTCAACCAGGAGAGACTGTGGACATGGAAAAAAAGGTTAAAACCACTAATTAATGAATTGAATATGTTTATTCCAATTAAAGTAAGAAGTTCCTATCGATTCATACATTCAGAGGTTACACTGATTATGACTGTATTATTTATTATCTATTTAAAGCGAAAAATCAATTCACACACTTTTTTCTGGTTTTTCGGTATCAGTAACTATATTGGTATATACTGAGATGCCATATCTGCGAAGAATTCAATTCGTTAAGATATTATTAATTTATTGAAGCAGTAACAACCTTGGTTGGGGGTGTTGCTAGGTTAGACTGAAAATGTTTGTCTCTAAAATGATAATTTAATGTCAATTTTCACATGTACATATGTATTATGCTGTTGCGTCATTAAACATTTAACTATTAATAACAGTATAATAGATATTGGCACTAAATCATCATTGTAGAGACAGAATGTTTTCGGTTGATTACCAGGTCCGCTATGTACGGTGACGTTAAGGATCCCACGCGCGCGAAGATATTTGACGATGAGAGAATGAAACTCCGAGTAGATGTAGGAAACAATTCCGATGTATAGATAAAAATGTTTCCAAACGCTGCTGATACTCCGAACTTTCCAATCATGGAGAGCGTAATAGTTATCCAACTTAAGGCTGAAAAATAAGGGAAATTCTGCAGTTTGCATAAACCTTACTACAAAACAAAAATCAAAAACAGAAACAAACAAACAAAAAAAACCCAAAATGATCATAAGAGACATTTTTTCACTTAAAAAAAGAAATTACATACATTTATAAATGATCTCAGAATATTTAGTCGACTATTGTTCAAAGCCGGATAAAAATGTAAGTTTAGAATCTAAATTTTGAAAAAAGTATTATAGATAAAATCTAATTCAGGATCATTCTTTAGAATTTTCAGAATGATGTCTTTTATTTCTTTGTTTTAATCTCGTTATATATACAAACTGTTGGGGTTTTTTTCAGAAAAAAAAATTCTCACAATCGTCAGCCAGTTGTGTTGTGAGGATGGTGGACAGACAAGCTACTCCCGTCAGAACGAGGCTACCACAGTTCATGACCTTTCGTCCATACCTGTCGTTGATAACAAGGCACGAGCTGTAACCCAGGGCCTCAACAATGGCCGACACCAGGAAGTTGAGGTAGATATTCCCGCCAATTCTACCGGCGTTTAGGATGAGACCGTAGTAGGACAGAGAAATAGCAAACCTAAAGCAAATACATCGTAAATATTTATAACGAAATTATATAGTGCATCGAATAAACAGTAGGATTTTAACACAGGTAGTTAATTGCACTACATTTTAAAAACAGAACTTCCATGTTCACTATGGCGTTTCACTGTGTCGAAATTACCCAAAAGATCTTTGCACGAGTTCACATTCCCAACCAACGTCCCGTATATATACATCATAACAAATTACGACCATAGAGTTTAAAATGGTTTGAAATAGAATTATGGAATTCTTCATGAGAATTCAGGATGGTAATCGCCTTAAAAGATAGCCGATAAGTTATTGAAAAGCCTACCAGATAAATGAGACGATGGCCCATCTGGAGACGAGCCTAGGGTTCCTCAGTAAGATGAGGACATCCTTCAGTGACGCTTTCTCTCGACCTACATCTGTCACTTCTCCGGTCAAGGTCGTTCCGTTGACTTTGGCGATTTTTCGGAGGATTTTCATTGCCTGTCTCCTTCTTCCTACTAACATTAGCCATCGAGGGGATTCCGGAATAATTCTTGAAAATAAAATAAGGTTATTCCTTTTTTTCGCCATGAATTAGTATAAAGTAAGAGGGGAGAAAATTCATACTTCACTTCGTTCGAAGGGTTTAACGTAAAAATACTTAAAAATGGTTTTTGAAAAAACCACCTGCATCTATTGCCGTATATATTGGATAAATCTTTCCGTGGCTGCTAAATAAAAACCTAAGATGCACAGACAATATTTCACCATCACTATAATATTTTCCTACGAAACATTAATCGAATTCAACTGAGTGATCTTATCACAAAGCGAATTTGCCATGTAAAATATTTTCTCATAAACATGAACTTAATCACTTTATTGATAAGATAAGTCTAGTATTTAAGTAAAGTTTGGGACGAATATTCAAAATATTTTTGTTAAAGAGTATATATTTGTTAAAAGGACTTGCATTATATACGAGAA